ATATACGGAACGAAATATCCACGGCATCCGCTATTCATCTGGAGACGTAGAATATAGTGCGCTGAACGCTATACTTGAAGATCATTTGCTGTGTACCGATATAATTTATGTGAAAGGACGTGAACAGCGGGATTATTTAGAGAAAATACTACCGCAATTGGTTCCCTCCAGCTGGCAGCACTTACCCAATGTGGTAAACGTTGAAAAATGTGAAAATTACTGGGATAACCCCCCACCACGTTTCCAAGTAGATGTACTCCGTTGTTCATATCATATGAATCCAAATAAAACAGTCAGATGCAGCAGGCGGAACTGCGAAGATCTTTTCCTTTGGGTATACAACCTATTGCCGCAATGAAGAAGAAAACAGTTACTTTCGACGAATCTAAAAATAAAGTGCATCTAATGAAAACGTGGACTTTTGCATCTACTGCAGCTCGGCGTAGATACTGGGAATTCTTTGCTGCGGATAGAGATAGATTTAAGAGAAGAATTGAAACTACTTCTAAAATTCTCAAGCTATTATTAGATAAACATCTTGAAAAAATTCGCCAACTAAAATCTGAAATAATACATTACACCAACCAGTGTAAAATGGCTAAATAGTTTCAAAAGATGAACATTCAAGACAACTGGGATGATGTATTTGCGAATCCTCATCGATTTTCCGCAGCGAAGAATGGACCTACATCTACAAGAATTGTACCAATTACGTTATAATATTATATTTATTATATTTTAATATGCTTAATATATGTTTACTTGTCCTTGTTTGTTTTATTTCCTCTCTCCCTCTACCTTTCATGAATAAGAAAAACCAGTTATAAGACTTTACAAATCATTATGTACCTCATTCGTTTATAGACAGTGGTCTGTTGCTTAACAACAATGGTCGTTTTACGTTCCAATTTCATAATTTTAACTGCAGTACTACAAAATGTGTTGTACGTACATGATATACACAACGTACACGAAATGTATGTATGCTACAGANATTTGAATTGAATTTGAATTGAATTTGAATTGAATTTGAATTGAATTTGAATTGAATTTGAATTGAATTTGAATTGAATTTGAATTGAATTTGAATTGAATTTGAATTGAATTTGAATTGAATTTGAATTGAATTTGAATTGAATTTGAATTGAATTTGAATTGAATTTGAATTGAATTTGAATTGAATTTGAATTGAATTTGAATTGAATTTGAATTGAATTTGAATTGAATTTGAATTGAATTTGAATTGAATTTGAATTGAATTTGAATTGAATTTGAATTGAATTTGAATTGAATTTGAATTGAATTTGAATTGAATTTGAATTGAATTTGAATTGAATTTGAATTGAATTTGAATTGAATTTGAATTGAATTTGAATTGAATTTGAATTGAATTTGAATTGAATTTGAATTGAATTTGAATTGAATTTGAATTGAATTTGAATTGAATTTGAATTGAATTTGAATTGAATTTGAATTGAATTTGAATTGAATTTGAATTGAATTTGAATTGAATTTGAATTGAATTTGAATTGAATTTGAATTGAATTTGAATTGAATTTGAATTGAATTTGAATTGAATTTGAATTGAATTTGAATTGAATTTGAATTGAATTTGAATTGAATTTGAATTGAATTTGAATTGAATTTGAATTGAATTTGAATTGAATTTGAATTGAATTTGAATTGAATTTGAATTGAATTTGAATTGAATTTGAATTGAATTTGAATTGAATTTGAATTGAATTTGAATTGAATTTGAATTGAATTTGAATTGAATTTGAATTGAATTTGAATTGAATTTGAATTGAATTTGAATTGAATTTGAATTGAATTTGAATTGAATTTGAATTGAATTTGAATTGAATTTGAATTGAATTTGAATTGAATTTGAATTGAATTTGAATTGAATTTGAATTGAATTTGAATTGAATTTGAATTGAATTTGAATTGAATTTGAATTGAATTTGAATTGAATTTGAATTGAATTTGAATTGAATTTGAATTGAATTTGAATTGAATTTGAATTGAATTTGAATTGAATTTGAATTGAATTTGAATTGAATTTGAATTGAATTTGAATTGAATTTGAATTGAATTTGAATTGAATTTGAATTGAATTTGAATTGAATTTGAATTGAATTTGAATTGAATTTGAATTGAATTTGAATTGAATTTGAATTGAATTTGAATTGAATTTGAATTGAATTTGAATTGAATTTGAATTGAATTTGAATTGAATTTGAATTGAATTTGAATTGAATTTGAATTGAATTTGAATTGAATTTGAATTGAATTTGAATTGAATTTGAATTGAATTTGAATTGAATTTGAATTGAATTTGAATTGAATTTGAATTGAATTTGAATTGAATTTGAATTGAATTTGAATTGAATTTGAATTGAATTTGAATTGAATTTGAATTGAATTTGAATTGAATTTGAATTGAATTTGAATTGAATTTGAATTGAATTTGAATTGAATATGAATTTTGAATTTTTGCTAACAATACAATTAATAATATATCAGGTTACAATTTATACCAAAAAGCAAGTCTGAACCTGTAGAAAACAGGTCTGAACCAGTAGAAAACAAGTCTGGACATGTAGAAAACAGGTTTGAACCTGTAGAAAACAAGTCTGGACATGTAGAAAACAGGTTTGAACCTGTAGAAAACAAGTCTGGACCTGTAGGAAACAGGTCTGAACAACTAGAAAACAAGTCTGGACCTATAGAAAACATGTCTTAAATTGAGGTGACCATGACCCCAGACGACCAGGGGGCCATGACCTTGACATGACCTTGACCCCAGGCGACCTGAGGTCGATGACCTTGACTTGACCTTGACGTGACCTTGACCCCAGACGACCAGGGGGTCATGACCTTGACATGACCTTGGCGTGACTGACCACAGACGGCCAGAGGTCATGACATTGACTTGACCTTGGCGTGACCTTGACCCCAGACGACCGGGGGGTCATGACCTTGACATGACCTTGACCTCTGACGATCAGAGGTCAAAGACCTTAACGTGACCTTGGTCTAGAATGATGCAATACCGGATAAGAATGATGCAATGCTGTTTGGAGGTCATTGCCCTCGAATGATGCAATACCAGATAAGATTGATGGGAAAGGAAATAATATATCAGGTTAAAGTTTATGCTAGCGTGGCAGTATTAAAGGAAATAATATATCAGGTTACAGTTTATGCTAAAAAACAGGTCTGAACCGGTAGAAACTTGTCCTCGAATGCTGCAATACCAGATAAGAATGATGTAATGCTGTTTGGAGGTCATTACCCTCGAATGATGCAATACCAGATAAGAATGATGCAATGCTGTTAAAGGAAATAATATATCAGGTTACAGTTTATACTAAAAAACAGGTCTGAACTTGTAGAAACTTGTCCTCGAATGCTGCAATACCAGATAAGAATGACGCAATGCTGTTTGGAGGTCATTGACCTACCCTTATCGTGATTGAATTTTAAATTTACCACCAACTGGCCATGTGACGTTACTTCCATGCCACCATGATACTTCTTATATGACGATACTTCCATGCCGCCATGATACGTCTTGTATGACGTCACTTCCATGCTGCCATGACACTTCTTGCATGTTAACACCCACGCATCTCTTGCACAACGACAATGACCACAAGAAGTCGCTGAAGGAGCGCGCCGAACTCGATGAACACTGAACATGTGGTGACCTTGACCCCAGGTGACCTTGACCCCAGGTGACCTTGACACGACCTTGACCCCTGGTGACCTTGGGGTGACCTTGACCCCATGTGACCTTGCCACGTCACTTCCTGATCCACAAACCGCCTCATATATCTACTAACGAATGATCTTCGTACATTGACCAGTTTTGACTAATACAGGTTAAGGTTAGACCATTCAGTTGAAACTGTGCCCCATTAAGTCTTATCTTATGCGCATATTCACTATTCATCATTGGAAATGCCAAACAATATTTTCAGATTTCATACGATGAAATAATGTGTAAGAAAACATCAGCGTTTCACAAAGTATTTAACTGGCAATTAAATAAATATAAATATGGCGGTCAGTTTTCAGATTATAGATGTATGAAATTGATCTCTTGTCTGAAAAACATATATTACTTCCATGATATTACAGTGCCCCTCTAATTAGGTTTCCACAGTTGTGGCGTACCAGCCTATATTTCAATTCTGCCATCTACTCATAGGAAATACAACTACAATCTCCTATCTTTATCCTCCCATTAGTTAGTAACAGAGCGACGGACGGATGGAAGGAGTTACTTAAAAAGTTTTCTCTAATACTAATAACGTGTCATAGTCTCCTACGCCATAAGCCTGAAGACAATAATAAAATTGTTTGTACAGTTCATAATGACTTTCATTAGAGAATAGTATTTAGCAACCAAACGATACATATTTTTTATGCAAACACCCCTTTTCTCGAAACCAATATTCGATCTACCACAATGTTATGTAACAGGTTCGTTGACATTAGAATAAAAAACAGAAGAATGGTCATGCAGATCTGTTTTAAGTCAGGTCAGCCTTCTTATAGATGGTCCATGGGCTGAAGCAAATCAAAAATTAGTTTGCTAAGTAGAAGAAATATTACGATTATCACAGGACTTTTAACGGAGTATGGATATTTTGATAAACACCTCAATAGAATAGGGCAGAGCACAAACGTAAGTACAGGTTGTGCGGGCACGACGATTATGATTACATATTCTCTGTCACCGTGGTGAAAAGACGTAGATACCTGGAAGCAGCATTTCTGTCACCTCAGGGCATTAAAGAGTATCCAGTAAAGCTAATGTTTGACCTTGCACGTATAATGGGCCTATTTTTAAACACTCTTACTAGCGGCAGGCACAATGGGTCTGAGCTCTGGGGGCAACCAGCTCGCGTTTCACAACAATAACGACAAGACCTCATATTTTCGCCAGACCCTGTGCAAAACCATACTTATCGTATCAACTTCAACGTTACCTGTTTACGTGGGTGTTGTACAATAATGAACACGTAATATTGACAGTTGGTAGAAGCAAGCGCAAAAAAGCAAACGCCTAGGTGGGGAATTCTGGAAGGAAGCCTAAATAGTTGAAGATAGGTAGTTGAAGTGAGAAGAGTATGGAGATGGGTAGTAAAACGATCGGCGGGCAGTGTGTCAAAAATAGTGAAAAAATAAAAGTGTTTAACCGGTGGAAAGTTCTAAATATTTTCAGATTTATCGGATCAGTACTTTCCGAGATATCGATAGTGGCGATTCCTGGTGGGACACCCTGTATATTGTGCACCTTTCTATACATATTCGAACTATAGTCCTGTAAAAGCCGTGAATTCTGATATGTAGTCAAAACTTATTTGTCTTTGTTACCGCCACTATATATAATGTGTTACCGTCCTATAGTCCAATCAGTCTGTCACGGCCTTATGTTAAATTTACAAAAAATACCACTTGGAAACAAAAAATATAGTGATATAGGAAAAAAAATTCTAACAAAGATCGTGTATTTTTCCTGTGGCGCATAAACGGCGAAGTTAACCTAAAAAATTCATAAATCAAAAAACGGTTTTTCGCTAATAAAAAAAATTTGAACTCCAATCGAAAAAAGTTAAGTAAGAAAGTTGTAGCTATTAAAAAAAACTATCGATTCATATTTTTAAATATATCGATTGATATATTACTTTTGGAGATATATCGAAATAACCGTCAAAAATCGACTTTTTTGTTGTTGTTGCTGTATCTCTTGCAAATTAAGGTTTTGAAACTTGTTACTTACTGTAAATATAGCCCTTGGCAAGCAAAAAAGTATCTTTTTTAAAAATTAAAAGTTATTAAAAATTTTTCGAGTTACATCGATTTTTTGAAAAAAAGGTCACCTCGAAAATCAGCTCTTCTTGCTCGACGAATAGTCGTAGAGAAACGAATCAGGGTTCATTTTTTCCTTAAAAATAGTACTTTTATAGTACACTAAGAGTGATAACGATTTTATTCATTTCAAATGTCCAAAGATGACTGAAAAAAGTAAAAATTTTTTGGTCGCGTTTTTCTTGAATATCTTTTTCGATTTTCATTTCTCGATAATGTCTATTACAGGAATCGACTGCTTGCATTTTTACGCGAATTTAAAAAAAAAGTTGCTCTACGACCTTCTGGGGCCGAGATAATTTTTTTTTTCAAAACATTTCACAGGCCACTATTTATTTAAATGCTACATACAGCGACCATTCTTACAGAGATTGAAGTTGAAGACATATATTTTTAATAAAAAAATACTGTGGTTCATTTTAGCCACTTCTGTATTTTTAATTGTGCGTCAAACCGAAGCATGACCCCTTTTATGCACGCGTTTTTCTCCTCTCAACGCGAAATTGAGAAAAACGCGGCAAATTTCTGCTCCATTTTATGCACGCGTATTCTATCAGTTGTCGCCAGTTTCATGCCACACAGTAGTCAGTGAAGTACATGAAAATGGATCCGTGTATATTGTATTTGTGCTATAAAAAAATATGTAATAGAAGACGTAAGAGGCGTTGGGCAGTACATCCAATTAATAGAAATAGAATTCAATTGCGTCCATTGCATCCATGTCCCGCTTAATCAACAGCTAAACTAAAATTAAAACAAACTTTCTTGACAGACAGAGCCACTGGACTTGCGACAAAGAGCGCTTTGCATAAAAACGCCGATATATTTTCGTGCTTTTTCGGAATGCGTGTCGCCAAGCGTTCTGTAAAGCCATTGCGACAGAATTGAAAACGCGAGAGCAAATAAACGAGCGTAAAATGCATAAACGTAGTAACTCTGTTCAGGGTATCTTGAAACGCGGCGTTTTTGTCAACTCCGCGTTGAGAGGAGAAAAACGCTTGCATAAAAGGGGTCTTTGAGCGCGACACGAGTTAACTGTAGCGGACGGCGGAGTGAGGTAACGCTCCGGCCACTCCGAAAACTGAATTCGCGCGTTCAAAAGCGCTCTTACTTTCAAAATCTTCATTGTCTCGACTTCTGGACCATATACAAAAATTGCGCGACGCGAGCTAACTGTAGAGGACGGCGGAGTGGGGTAACGCTCCGGCCAGTCCGAAAACTGAATTCGCGCGTTCAAAAGCGCCCTTACTTTCAAAAACCTCATTGTCTCGACTTCTGGACCATGTACAAAAATTCTTTTGTACTTAATTGGAAGTAGCTCGACGAAGTAAATCAAAATATGATGTTTACGACAGCCTTAAAAGTATAATTATCTTTGAAATATGTAATTTTCCTTTAGTCTAAAATTCTCTCACCTCTTGTTAACATTTCAATAATAATAATTGTTTATGAAATAAAGTAAGTACAACATTTTATGATAATTATATCTTTTTGTTATAAAAGTATTACAAAATATTTATCTAATTGTCGTACAGAAAATTACGTGGTATAAATAAAAATATTCGTCGATTACATTTTTTATTTTCACAGCTTATGCAAGTACATCACTCTTATGTTTCAATTCTTCTTCTCTTCAATTCCATCGATTGTGATTCATTTTCTTCTTCTTCTATGATTTCGTTTCCTATATTCCACGCAATCAACTTCATTTTCCACATAATTCGTTGCATCAATGAGTGATTTAAATGCGTCAAAAGAATCATTGGATGTTTGAAGTTTCAAAATTTTCACATTGGGATGCATCACAATGTAAACCAACACCAGTGTACATTTAAAAAAAATTTGTTACAACCACATGACGCA